AAAAAATTGAATTAAAAAATTACACAAAAAAATGAGGAATTTTAAATAGTTAATTGATATTAATATCGATATATTTTTGTCAAATTTTTATGATATCTTTAAACATATATTTTATTCAAAAATAAAAACATCATCGCTTTCTTAAAATCTCATAAAGCCATATTATAACATCGATTGAGATAAAGAATAAAATGAAATATTAAAATCACGATATATCTCTCTGCATTGCGCGAGTACGCTTCTAGTATGAATAAATGACTATTTCACTTTTGACGGAATATTTGTTCAAGTTGATGTTTTTCGTTTTTTTTGTATTAGTTGTTTAAACTTGATGTTATATTTATGATATCTTTGCAACATAAGATGATGTTATTTTGTGTTTTATATTTGCAAGGTCATACATGGATGAAAATGATATTATTCTGATTGTGGTTATTGTATATTGGTATTTGAGAAGAAGAACTTCAACACGAATAGAAAGGGTGAGAGATAACACTTTGGTTCTCACTGGACATGCGTATACACAAGAATTATTAAGTGGATTCAATACGCAATGTCATGAATTGATGCGTTTATCTCGTGATGCCTTTATAATGCTATGCAACCATTTTAAACAAAAAAATTGGTTGCAATAAAGTAGGCAAATAAGTGTTGAAGAGAAGGTGACGATGTTGTTGACAATTGTTGCTCACAATGAACGATTTAGAATGGTTAAACGTAGATTTCAACACTCTATACAGACTATCCATAATTGTTTTTATGACGTATTGAGAGGAATGATGGAATTCGCGAGAGATGTAGTAGGGCCAACATCGGTTGATGGATCACCAAATACATCAGAGATTTAGACACCTCAAAGAAATATTTTTGGTATGATGTATGTTATTGATTTGATAATTTCTAATTTTTTTTGATATTTTTACAAGTTTCTTATAGTTAATGTTTTTTAAAGGGGGCTATAGGTGCACTAGATGGAATCCTGATATATACAGTTGTGCCTAGTGATCAACAAACAAGGTATAGAGGAAGAGGAAGAGGAAGGGGAAGGGGAAGGGGAAGGGGAAGAGGGGAATGCTACCAAAAGGTTTTAGCCATTTGTGATTTTAATATGATATTCACGTTTGTATGGGTTGGATGGGAAGACATTGCACATGATTCAAGAGTTTTGAGGGAAGTTGCATTTAACCTAACTTCGAGATTTCCGTTTCCTTCATTAAGTAAGTATCATTTTATTACATTAAAAGGTTATTATTAATCCATATTCTTTAAGTTGTAGATGTAATTACAGATGAATATTATCTTTGTGATGCCGCATATACTTGTACCCGTGGATTTATGACTACATATCATAATACGAGGTATTGGTTAGCAGGTTTTTGACGTAGACATGCATTAACAAAAGAAGAAATGTTCAATCATACTCATGCATAACTTAGAAATGTTATCGAGCGTGCGTATGATGTCTTAAAAGCAAGATTTCCAATCCTGAAGCAAATGAGTCCTTATCATTTTTCAATACCTTAAGATGTGGTGATTGTTTGTTTTGCGATTCATAATTTTATAAGGAAATGCAATATCCAAGACCAATTATTTATGGAACACGATGAGAACACCATGTTTACCGCCAATGAAGAACAACATGAAAGAAGCAATGAAATAGAAGTCGATGAAATGCAGTAGAGTTCTCAAGATAGTGAATATATGACTAGTTTGCGTGATCAGATTTGCAAATAAGTTACTGTCTAATATTTCAAATTAAGATTTGTGAGACAATTATTATGTTTAAATTCAATTTATTTTCCCGTCTAAATATATTTTAATTATGAAATTTGTACTTTTGTCATTTGAATAATTATTCATACATAATATTTGGTAAATAGTTGCATTAGTTTAAACACTTCATCACATATAGTGTTATAATGGTAATTTTTTTATTAGTCAACATCAAATCCAGAATATTTGGTAAACAATTTTTTACAAACAACACTTGCTCCAAACAAAGATGCGTGCTCTAATCAAGCCTCTTATTTCAGACAACGCTTACCGGCTATTGTTGGTAAAGAGCCCCTTAATTGCTCTAATCAAATAAGTTGTAATTTTTAATACAATTTTTATGAAGGGGTATTATGTGCTATTGTTCATATTGTAGGGGTCTCTTGTTCACCATCGAAAATACCGTAAAACGATAAACTGACCATCCAGTTTGAGCCATTGGTGGGGGTGGATAATGGTGATGGCGAGCTTCACAGTAACCCCCAACTCAATTTCATCCTCCCTCCTCCGCCTTCAGTCTTCAGTGCCATCGCAGATTTCCCCACTTTTACCGAGTTATCAGCAACAATTGGGTGGTAGTTGCCGCAGAAGCAGAGGTTCATTGGTGGTGACACGAGGGGGACCACCAGGAACCAGCACTTACATCTTCGCATTCGTCTTTCCACTTTCTCTCCTTGCTGTAACAATCTTCACTGCCATCAGAATCTCTGACAAACTCGACAAAGACTTCTACGAGGAGGTAAAAACCCCAATTTCTTTTTTCAGAATTTTGGTTGATTGTGTGATTATGGGTTTCTATGTTCGTATGATGCACACCAACTGTTTGATGAAGTATCATGACGAGGTTTGTGTCAAATAACTCTACTATCTCTGTTCATATGGTTGGGTAAACTGGGTTTTGTGGTTAAAATATGTACTTGGATAAATTCGTGAATCTCGCCCAATTAAATGCCTTAGGTTAATACCGAGAGTTCATTTATTATGGTTTAAATATTTATGGAAGATAACTAGAATTCATTAATTATGATCAATACTTTATATTAGAAATATCAAAACTTTTATGAAATCACATATTCATCAAATTAAATGGACTACTGAGATTGAGTTGTATTAGTTGTACAAATGTGAAGAGTTCCATAATAACTCACCTCTCTCTATATATATATACATACATACATATAGGGGCCTAATCAAGTGAGAACTAAATAGTTTGTAGTAACCGTGAGATTCAATGTGAGCCAATCATTTGAGATAATTAATGTTATTTACTAAAATAAGATAAAGGGTAAATAGGTAATTTGACAATTTGGTTTTTGTAATAACAAATCAAATCATTAATTATAACAAACGTTACAATCCATAATCAATGATTATATTAGAAAATAATAGATATATTTGTGGACAATTATCATGATTCATTAGTTATGATTGAGATATATATGGAAGATGATAAGGTTTATTCATTATGATCATTGCCTTAGATTAGGAAACAAAATGGAATTAAATATTTATTAAACTAGATGGTCGGCTAAAATTGGTTTGTTAGAATTAGATGCATTGTAAATGAAACGTCCCCTATGTATATTCACCGGATCAGACGTTTTATACATATTTATATATATAAGAGAGAGACAGTTAGAGATGGTTTGGTGGTTTGTATGTAACTGCACAACAATTGTAACGAATAAAATTTAGCGACAGTTTCAGCTGACTCAAAGGTTTTGAGTCTGAAGCACTGTCCCAAGAGGTGAAACCACAAATGAGGCTCTGGACAGAAGGTCTAGAGGCTTTGATCACCAGCCTTAGTAAACAACCCATAGTTCAGAAGCTCTGGACCACTACTTCGACCAAGTGAAGATTCAGAACCTCTGATCAGATGGATCAAGGGCTCTAAACAATACTTAGGCAAATTTCCACCAAGTCTAGGAACACTTTCCAGAAGGTTTCCAACCTTCTGAAACTTATGTAAAACATCCCGGAACTTAAAATTCCTAAGTATACCTCTTCTAAAATCTGATGCAGCATATAAAATCGAACTGAAGACTAATCCCGTTGATTTTGTGAATGCCTGGGAATAATCTCTACCAAAGTTCGTTGATTCGACGAATTCCGAACTTTGGCCTTCAAATCAAATTCACGGTGAATTTAAATTTGGGAAGAAAATTGAAGATTTGTATATTCATGCAATGACCATCCGAATTACTCAAACAAGTAAATAAGAAGGCCAAAACAAAACGGGCCTAAAAAACACTATGTGCCTTAAAAACACTATGTGCTGAACATTAAAGCTCTAACGGAAATGTAAAAAGCATAAAAAAACACAGAAGTGTCCAAAAAGGTGTTTAAACAGCGTTTTTAGGCCTAAAAAATGTCATAGGCCCCTTTGAGGCCTACTTAGGGCATGCTCCTCGTTTAACCGCGGACCCTTTTTTAGCCCGATCATAGGCGTCCATGAACAATAAGGCCCAGTTCTCCACGCCAAGGCCGGCATCAAAATTCGTAGAGGTTTTGGGCCACTGCCCCTAAGACCATGCAAGAGGGCGTGGACCCTTTGACCTCTGCCTTATGGCGATCTAGGGTGATAGAGGCAACATTAGAGAGTGTGCACTCCGCACCTCCTAACTCACATAGTTTGCCTCATCACCTTATTAATCTCAAGTGAATCACAATTACACCAAATTTGATTGGATGACACTCAAATCATCAACACATATTGACCTTATGAATACCATCAGTTCAAATCCTGAATAAATCATTTTGTTGTAATGGATGCACATAATTTCGTTTGCGAGAGATGCCTTCATGCTATCATGAGCCATTCATAACTTCTTTTTCATTAACGTCCAAACCAAACCAAAAAACCAAGTAAATGCTACGCAAAGATAGGGTCTGGGGTTGTGGCGTAGTGGTTGAGGCCTAGGGGGATGTAGTGGAATATCCCATCTGCCTGGGGTTCAATTCCAGGCGTTCATGTGGCTACTGAGTTTATCAGGGCTGATGTCTTGCAGTCACAATTTCTCGGGATTAGTTTGGGCATAGCCTAGGACACCCTTCCAAAAAAGATAGGGTCTGGGAAAGATAGGATGTACGCAGATCTTTCCTATGTTTCAAAGAGAACCCCCTGTTTGCAAAAAAGAAAAGAAAAAGGAGAGCAAACTAGATGTGTGAAAACCCCAGGCTTGCAATTTGCAAAAAAAAAAAAAGAGAGCAAACTAAATTTGTTAACGTGTGAAAACCCCTGGCTTGCAATTTGCAAAAAAAGAGAGAGCAAACTACATGTGTTAATGTGGTGAAAACAAGCAACAGTATATCCCACCTGGGGCTGTTCTATTGCTTGCAAAAACTTTGTTTGCCTATAAATACCCTTACAAGTGAAACTGCTAATTACATCGAAAAGATTCTGATTATTGTCTTGAACTAAAACAGATGGCAGTTAATCAATCAATATTAGAAGCGGAGGATGAGGATGAAGATGTTTCAACTCCAACCAATGAAGAGCCTCCTCGTCCACGAACTCGCAACCGGCCCAAACGAGAAGCTGAGGCTCCAGGAAGGTAGTTTCTTTTAGGCAGGACAAACAGATTGGTGTTTTACAAAATTGAATTCACGCTGTTAATCTTCATTACTCTGATATTATGCTTGATTCAACATAATCTTGTAATCTAAGTCCAATTATATGTATAGTTCTGTGATTAAGAACTTGTGGAAATATTTTAAACATGTCATGCAGAAGTCTCTTCTGGTGCTCTCTTTTGGTACACTGTTTAATAGTACTAAAGAACTTTATCCTAATTTGAGATTAGCCATCTTTCATGGTACTTTGGGCTTGAATCTCATTCTGAAAGATTGTACTATCCTATATGAATATCAATCAGTACCCCTTTAATTCACATGTGATGACAAATGCGTTCTGTCGGTTAACTAGTATGATTTCATAAAAATACACAGGCTAACATATAATATATTCACAAAAAATATAACAACTAGCAATGGGGATATAATGGGAACTAGAAATCTACAACGATGACATTAGAGATATGAAGATTTTGTCCCCAATTGTTTTCAGGAACATCTTAAGGTTTCCCATGCTGCTTAGAAGCATCAACTATATTGTTCTCTGCCCCTAATGAATTTGAAAGTATGAGGATGAGCAACACAGAAAAGGGTGTTTGTAGTTGTAGGAGAAAGTTGTTCATTGTGGTTTCCTCTATGGCTCTCTTTGCTTGTACATATTCATCTATTTGACCATTCTGACACTCACTTTAGGTGTAGGAAATCATGGGTTTTATTGTTAAAATGCCCACTTTTAAGCTATGTCATGACAATTCTTCTCAATATAATATCTGAAGTTCCCATAAGTCCCTAGGGTGCGTATGGTACACTGACGAGATTGCATAGGACTAGACAAAACTGGATAGACGAGAGTAAAGTGGGCTGATGAAAGAATTGTTGAAGATTTTAGGGTTTTAATGTGACACGGGTAGTTTAGTAGTTTACCAATCTTTTTAATTTTTGTTTTACCTATTTTGGTGTGACAAAAAACGGCATTTTTGTCGTACTCAGTCCAGTCCAGTCCTATTCCAGTCTAATATGAGACAAGTTGTTAATCCCATCAGAATTACCAAAGTCATCCTAGGTAGATGTAACATTCACACTCATATCATATTGCAGCTAGGGATCTTGTGCTAATGTGGCTGGAAAGCAGGATTGTTGACTTGAAACTGTAGCCAAAGTGATGGGATGGATATTTAATCATTTATGTATATAACACTGGGCTGGGCCACCATTCATTATGCCATAACCATTGCTAGCTTCTTTTTTTCTTAGCTTTCCCATTAAGTTAGCTTTTTAAAATGGTATTTCAGGTATCTTGTTGATCACTTTTTTTTTAATTATGCCCTTTATATTTTAAATAAATGGTTTATTTTAAGGTGTCCTTCTAGTTCATTTTACATTATTATCGAAAATTAGTTTTTATCAAACGTGATCAGTTTATAACAAAACGACCAAACGCACAGTTTTAAAAGACTAACAAAAAGGATGAGCTGCTTTGTTGGATTATTCGAGGTAGTGAACCCTAGAACAATGTTCCATTTGTTGACCTTACCAAGGTTATTTAATATTTATTTTTGGAAGTTTTTACGTTTAACTTCACCTGGTTATTTTTTTTCTTATCGATTTGTCATATTAGTGCATGTGTGGTGCTACATAAAGATAACGTGGCACTTATTGATCCACGTCACCAGCCACCACCACCACCGATCAACTTAAAGTAGAGTTGTTCATCGGTTGACATCCATTGAATGTAAGGGGAACCGAACCGATCCGATCATCTTCTGGATGTTGGATTTTGCTAATCGATCCGATCTGATCCGATTAACATTGAATAACCGATCCAATGGATGATGGATTGCTTCGTTTCATCCATTGGATATCCAATGGATGATCCGTTGGGATTTGATCCATCCAGCTTGTTAATTCAATCTAATTCTTCAACAATGATACAAATTGATTAATCACTTTTAATATGTGTTAAAATTCAAAGCCTCACATAAAACAAATCCCGATTTAAGCAATTTAAAATTAAATTAATTGGATGATAGTTAGATAATGATTGGATGGACAACTGGATGGTCATCGGATGATTAATTGGATGCTGATCGGTTCGGTTTTGGTCGGTTCTGAACTGCCATCCGAGAACCGACCGATCCAAATTGGATGTTGAAAATTTCAATCCGATCGATCCAATTACAATTGGATATTCAATTATGGTCGGTCGGTTCTACGTAGATCAACCGGTTTCAATTAGATCAGTTGATTTTATACATAATGTGTCATTTATTTATCACCTCACTACCCACCACCACCAATCGACCACCGTTAGTTAACAATAAGGATGATGTGGCATTTATTGATCCACGTCACCAACCACGACCAATTGACCATAAAGATAATGTTCGCTTCCTTCTTCTTTCTTTGTGATTTTCTTCTGTTCACACCTTCTGGTATCAATTACTGAGTTGAAAGCATAAGCTCTATGTGCTTGGAAGGCATCAAAAAGGAAAATAGCAATATAAATATACTCGTTTTACATTTTATCAATCTAGTTACCCGATTAACACATTAACAATTTTTAGATAGTGAATACATGTCCAAATTCCAATCGTATGAACATGAAATTCCACAAGTCGTCAATCTTTAAATGTCCAAAAAGTTAGGGAGCAGGGAAGAAAATTAGAAACCAAATGGGTATCGTTTTAAAATCAAACGCATAATATGGTTCTTTTACTAGTTCAATACACACAAATACATGCATGATACATTCAAGCGTTGCAAGATTCATATACAAGTATATCCTATGCATCTGACCATGAGATATCTAAATCTCCCCAATTGTCTTCTGATACACCCAATGCTTTCCAAACAGCTTTAGAGGCATCTACAATGTTGTTAGGGCATGGAGGTTGGTAGTCATGCTCTTCATCACAACCCATTGTGGAATCACACTCGTCTACAACCATGGCTTTTACACTTCGTCCGTTACCATTGATTTTGATGAAATTATGACACCTATCCCCTCCCTTATACCAACCTGTTGATAGTGCCACAACGGGTGTGTCATCAGAATGGTATTTGTGGTCACACTCTGATGGGCCACCTCCATCACCTCCCTTTTGGAAACTATTTAACGTTAGAGTCGCCTTTGTCTGACTAGAAACGGGTGGTGAACATTTGTAGGTGGTATAAAACTTCCCTTGGACACAACAATCTGAGTCGTTTTCTGTGTTGCATTGTCCTGGAGGCGGTTTTCTTCCCCTTATACCACCACTTGGCTTGCATGTTTGAGCGTCAATCTTCGGCGGAAAGGCAACCAGGATAACAAGAAACGCAAGAAGGCATGCATTGATGCATAAGTTCTTCATAATTGTTTCTTTTTTCACACCAGATATGAATGTTGGTGGAAGGGTGGATGAAAATGATTAGTATCTATAGAATGTTTGATTGTATAAAATGCCAATTATACAGTCATGATGTGATGACTTTGTTGTAACGTTTTCTTTTGTTTCAAAAAGTTTGTCTTGTTATATAATTTAATAAATTTTAGAGTAAATTATGATTTTCGTCCTTGTAGTTGGTTACTTATAATTATGTTCCTATCTGGTCTTTAAAAATTGTTTTTTTTGATCAATATGGTTTTTGATGTTTCATTTCGTTTTTCATCCTGGACCGATTCTATTAAAAAAACTCTATTAAGTCAATTTTTGGTCTTTTAATACATATATTTAATTTTCTAATAAAAAGGTAAAATATATTCCCTAAGAATATTCCACTTCTCATATCTATACTATCTATACTATCTTATAAAGCATTTGGACTCTTAAAAGCTCTAAAAACTCTTTTAAACTTTTAAACCCGTTCATTCTTAAACGATTTTATCCCTATCCGATTTCATCCCATATATGAATTCGTGTAATTAACTGCAGATAAACACAATTAAATACATGATAAACATCTCATTTTAAATATAAAAAATCTAAAATATAATTAGTATAATCATTAAATTCTAACAAAATACTTAATTATTATCTTTATAAAATTTATAATATTAAACCAAAAATAAATTTTATTATTATTAAACTTAAATTAAATTATATA